CCCGCCGTTTTCTCCACAAGGATCCGATCCCTCCCGATCGCTTCTCGCTTCCCGCCGCCGCTGCAGGCGATAACTTGATGGAGCGGATCCGGATGCTTAATGGGCCTCGGATCCGACTAGATTGCTTGATTCCTCCTCAGATTCCTAACAAGGAGGAGGAGAGAGAAAGTAGAATGTCGATGGAGGAGGTGAGGAAGGTTCTGAAAGCAGCGCAGTTGGAGATGGCGAGGTCGAGGTTGAGATCGATGGAGAGAGAGTGGATATCATATTCGGAGTTCTTGAAGGTTTGCTATGAGATCTCGAGTTTGGATCAGGGGTTGGGGATTGCTAAAGCTCTCGATGAATCGGGAGCTGTGATTGTTTTGGGCAATGTCGTGTTCCTTCGGCCCGATCAGGTAAAATTTTGTTAAACTTTTTTAGTTTGTCCGTAGATTAGCGTGATAATTTGGGGATTTTGCAGGAAAATACAATTTTTGTTCTATTCGCAAGCTTAGGCCGTTGAGTTACTTAGGATTTTCAACAGGGGTCACGGGGTAACGGATCTGAAGGGAGGGCCGGAGAGCTGCAAAATAGAAGAAAAATTGGATTTTTAATGCAAAATCCCAATCAAATTAGTATTAGAAATTCTGTTTAAAAGTAAATTTGCCGGGATCTGATGGTATTTTCGTCGTGTGTTTCTTTTCTATCTCTTCTCTACAGGAAAAGTAAGGAAGGGTTACGTGTTTGAAATGGTAACCTCGGAAGCAGACCTGAACCAACCATGAGACACCATTTATTTCTTTACTTCTCTTTAAAGAGTGGAAACATAATATACAAATTCATAACAAAAGTTATCTAACTATTCCTAACTTTCTTTCAAGGGAAGGGATTGATGTTTCTGTTTGAAACCTAAAGTTCTGATAGCACTTCTGTTTGGAACCTCAAAGTTTTGATAGTACTTCTGTTAGATCAGATTAGATACCCGATTGACTTTAATATATAACAAACTTGTAATGGTTTTAGATATCATTATAATGTCGTTATATTCAATTTCTTTTTTCTTTTTATTAGCTAACAAGGGTCACCAGAAGGCTACATACAAGAGAAGTTATTGCTATAAGCAATTGATTACTATAGGATATAGACCATCTTTCTAGTGTGGTCTGTTTATTCATCTTATGAATGAATTCAGGCTATTGGTTATATAGAGGTAGCAGGTTATTCATTGGATCAGTTGTTTAATATGTACTCACTGATTCAACAAAATAGCAATAATGATACTTAACACTAGTAATATGTCAAAAATAGTGGGAATCAGGAGTTTCTAAACATAGAAGACTACAAGCATTTGACTACCTGTCCCAAGCTTCAATTCTCAACTCGATTAATAGGATTCATAAATCTTAAGATCTCTCTGAGTATATTTGGTATTTCCTTGCCCCATCCAAATTACTGTAATTTACCAATTTGTCTTTTACACCTCTTTAAGTATAAAATTTTAACCATTGTACTTGAAAGGAAGTTTCACAAATTATGGGACCTTTACTTACTAGATATTGGCATGATTTGGTTGTCTGTTTTCTTTTCTCTCTTTTCCTTCTGGTTGGCTAGTCTTATTAGTTTTTAAAACTGCATAGAAGTTAACTTACCTGAAAAACAATTCAGGAATACTTTGAACGTAGAGATCTGGTTGGCCAGTACTCAATGTGAATTGTTTCTCTCCTTTGATTGTTTCCTTAATCACGCATGTACACTCATATTAGAACCTTTACATTTTGGATGTGTATCCTCTCTGTCGCCAAGATGGCACTGGAGGGACCACCACTTCCTCAATTAACCGTTCAGTAATAGCTAGACATTGTGATTTATGCATAAAACAACTTATATAACACTCCCCATGAATTTTATTCACTCCCATTTTACACTCGAGACAAATTGTAACTGGTATCAGATCTTAGATGGTTATGTTCGCGATTAACAAAGTGATCTCTCCATCACCAGTGGAGAGGACCAGATCTTGCCTTTTTATTTGTATAAGAATTTTTTGAACTTTATTAGACTATTCATGAGTCCCATTTTTCTACTTGTGGCTCTTGCCTTGTAGAAAAATCTTATTCTAATATTATTAGTGATCTTAATTTGATCCGTGGGGGTTTCTCCCAAAATCAGAGCTGTATGATTTTATCTGATAAATGGACAAGGAATACAACTCAATGTTATTAACTTGGGTATAATTTATTAGATTTTTTAGTAGATGCCGTTGGTAGATAAAGTCATCTTGGCATATCTTTAGATTTTACTTGGTAACTTATTCACCTTAGCTAGATTGTAGACACGTACACTGAACATGTCGGGATCTTATTTTGAACTGCCAACATCCTGGAACACCTGTTATGTAGGTACTTTACTAACTACACAAACCACCAATTTCATTTTTGCTCGTTACAAATTTCTTATGAAAAATTGTGATTTTTTTAGTTTTTTTGTGCACTTTGAATTTCCTATATCATGTAGTATTGAGGATTCCTTAGAATCGCAAGATTATAACTTTCATCAAGATTGTTTTTTTTAACTAGCATCATATAAGCTGGCTTCTATCATTCACGCTCCTAGCATGTTTATTTTTATACTCTCCTGGATGTCGACTGGCAGCTCAAGTAAATTCCTGTTGTATCTTTTGTTCTTAGCACACACCTTTTTCTCGCTAAAAACCAAGAGAATAGTTCACAGAATATTTCTACTGATTAGTTTCATGAACTCATGTACCCTTTAGCCCATGAATTTCATTAGCCAAATTGTTCATGGATATGTTTAGTCTTAAGCGTTAATGCTTATTCATCTTTCCGCATGCAAATTTTGTATCGATTCTGTTACTCAATGTCAATATTGTTCTCCTTTGCTATTATGGCCTTCTTCACGCTGTTTCATGCAAATACTGGTTTTTGTCCTAACATTTCACACTATGCTACATCTTTGTCTCTTTATTCATAAAAATGTTATGTCCTGGATATCTTTCTGAGCCCTCAATGGTTTTTTTTCCTTATTCATCAAAAACTAATTTGTGCAGTGACAAAAACCAAAAGAAAATTTCCCCTTATGTAAGCATCATTATAATATCCATACTAGTATAAAATCTACACATGTACTTCTGAGTTCAAGATAAGTTGCCTAGAGTTTTTTCCCCTTTCGGAGATGAAGTAGCCAAAATGTTTTTTTCTTTTCCTTCTGATATCACAGGTAGCTAAAGCTGTTGAGAGCATTATCCCTCTATCAATCCCCCAGCAGAAGCATCTGCCAATTCCCCAGCAAAATGATTGTCGCAAGGAGGAGCTTTGGGAGCTTGAAGAGCAGAAAGCAGTAATAGATAAACTAGCAGAGGCTCGGGTGAAAAAGGAGCTATGGTGTGGGCTTGGATTTATGGTGGTTCAAACAATTGGGCTGATGAGGCTTACTTTCTGGGAGCTTTCATGGGATGTGATGGAGCCCATTTGCTTTTACTTGACTTCCATGTACTTCTTGGCTGGGTACAGCTTCTTCCTCAGGACATCGAAAGAACCTTCATTCGAGAGTTTCTTCCAGAGCCGCTTTGATGCAAAGCAAAAGAAGCTCATGAAAGCCTACAATTTTGACCTTGGTAGGTTTAATGAGCTTAAGCAAGCGTGTGGTTCTTTTCGTTCATTTCCTTCAGAGGGCTCAGCCTCTTATTGCAATTGTCGTAAGAGAGGCTTGACATTGTGCACTGAGTAGCTTTGTGTTTTTTGAAGTAAGTTACTTGGTGGTGGGAGGGCAAAAAAAAAAAAGGGAACATATTTACCTGATTACATCAAATGTTGGAAGAGAAAATTTCAAAATGGTGCAATTGTTGTTATGATGTAATTTTCTTGCCTTAAGCGTTCTTTTCCACTCAATCAAGACCCCAAATCAATATTTTATTGTATTTGCTGGAATTGAATTCTTTCTCGGCGAACTTATGTTTCTGGATGAGATAGGAATGAGCTCATCACGCGTGAAAAACCATCACAGATAAGAGATGAGTACAGAGCCAGGCTTAGAGCACCGGCTTGAAATATTGAGAAAAGCCCAGCAGAAAGGGAACTCCCGTATGTCGAGAAGTGAGTAACTGAAAAATTCTTCAAAGACTTTATTCGAGGAGTTGTTCTGTCTATTTAGGCCGTGCAAGCTCCTCTGCTGATCGTAAGCTATACGAGACAGGTAAATTGTCATCAGGAGAGTTGGCTAGAATTCATTGATGTTTTCATATTTGGTTCTGTTCCGAATCTAGGCTATCGAGCGGTGGATTGCATTCTTGTTTTCAATCAATTTTAGCAGTAGCCACCAACAATGCTTTCCTCAGTTGCCTCAATGCAATTGGTTTTTTATGTAGAGTTGCTTCATGATTTGCAATCAGAGATGCTCTCTCCTGCTGGGTGGATGGATCACGATTGTTTTCCTCCTGACCTATGTCGTGAACTTAATGGAGGCAGACTGTGAATGTGAATATGCACACGAGTGTTTTCCTCCTTACCTATGTCATGAACTTAATGTAGGCAGACTGTGAATGTGAATATGCGCACATTGGACGTGTTCACGCTCAGTACTTTTCTAGGGTTACTGATAATGACATCTGCATGAAACTATTCTAGGGTTACTGATAATGACATCTGCATGAAACTACAGGAAGCTGGTCCTGTATGAATCAGGACATTAGATGATATTGGAACGAAATGGATTCTAGAGGATACATTTATATTGTTTTGATTTGTGTTGTATAGCTGAAAGAGATTTCATTGCATGGTCTCATCACTCAATCCTGGAGGCAGAAATTTCCCAGATTTTACACTCTAGCCAGAAATATTCTAAGTGATTGAGGATGACAACTGAAACTTTCAAGTTAAATGAGGCTATGGTGTCTTTCTTGTTTGGCCTGATTTACTTCTCTGTCAGATTTTGTTGTAGATGTAAGTGCACAGTATGTCTTTTACTAAAACATTACAGTCAAATTTCTTATCATGTAATCGATACATTGCTAAATTTCATTTGTTGTGTGAATATCTTTTTCCTGAAGGATACATATTTTGGTAAAATGTCCATACGTAGTAACTCATTTTCAAATCGACATTGCAGATTAGGCTTTTTGCAGCGAATAGCTCCTCAACTGATCCCGTATCAACTCTACTGCTTGGTTTCATGTGATATAATGCTACGATAATCTAATTGTATTTTACTTTGTCACACGCTAAGGGTTTGATTTACATAATAATAATGTAAATATTATTAATAAGATATAAATTAGATTTACAATAATCATATCAGAACCAGTATTACTGATACAGGATTTTCTTTTTCGAAATGCGCCCTCTAAATCAAAGCTACTCTAAAATTTACCCCAAACCATGAGAACTACTATTTTACATTCTAATATTGCAGTTATTCTTCAGTTTAACGTCTATTGTAACTGTTACAATAATCTTGAAATATCCTCACATATTCTGCTTAAATTAAGTTCATTATTTTTACAAGTTACTAAATTATCCTTACATTATTGTCAAAGCACATACGATTTAAGCAAAATATATGAGAAATAAACCTCAAATTTTATTTGAAAAACCTAAATGTGCAAGTTTTGTTTGAACACCTTTGGGAGAAAATAGGATTTGTTACCTTTGGTTGGTACCTGTCGTCGTCAGCTAAATATTAACAAAAGTGGTTGTTACATGAAAATACACACTCCCAACCAAAAGTGTGTATTGAAGTCCCCTACAAAAAACTACAAAGCATGAGGAAACATCACTCTGTACACATCCATAAATGCTTCCACAGAGATATGAACCTAATAGTTGCTAACAAAAACCAAAAGTAAACCAATTCCAACTTTAAGAAAGTTTTAAAAATCAGATAGAAGACAATATCAAGATTGAGCTGATTGCAAATCATTCTAGCTAGATCACTGCATTCACCAAATCTCTGTTTTCTCTTCTAGCAGCTCCAACCACTTGCAAACTATCAACATTCCCCTTTCTTCTTCTTTCCTGTAGTCTGGTAGCCCGAGAAGAAGCACTTTTAGAACCTAGCCAAAAGGTTGAGAAAGTCGTGATTTTGTTTAAAAGCTCAAGAGACTTCTTCCTTTTATTAGAAAAAAGTCTGTCATTATGCTCCTGCCATACACACCAAACTAGAGAACATGACAAAAGTTGTCAAATGCAAATTTCAAAATTGCATTAAAAAAATCCTACATTAAAGCATATCTATAAGTATTCTTATCAAATACATGACAGAAGCATATCTATAAATGTTCTTATCAATACATGACAAAAATCTATAAATGTTCTTATCAACACATGACATATCTGCAAGATCCTACAGTTGAAAGCATACGCGAACACGTTTAATGAAAATTTGAGATAAAAATTATTGGTACATATAATAATTTATTAAATATTACTACAAGTATTCCCTTACGTATACCTCAGGAACAACCGTGCGATACAGGAAAAGACAACTTATATTACCATGAGAAAGGTGTCATATTTACACAATCATAAAATAAAACATATCTACAATCGCTCTTCTTTAGTGAACTATCATGATCTGTTTAATATATGTCATAAACCTCCCAAGTATAACAACTACTACAACAACGTCAAAACCTTTATCCCAAATGTTTGGCGACGCTACATGAATTCTATTCTTACATTTCATTCTATTATAGGACATCTCTTTCGTTAAGTTAACCATAATCATATCATTCTTAATTGCTTCCAACCAAGTTCTTTTAGAGGTACACCTCTAGATCTCCTAGCCTCATTAACTATAATACTATCACTTTTCTTAGCTAGTGTACTAAGAGATCTCCATTGTACAAACCCCCCAAGTATATAACAACTCTGCAAAATCCTACAGCTGACAACAAGCATACAAGTATTTCTTTCTGCATATTATTTAACTGCTGAACAAACAACAAAAGATGTCGAACATGGCAATTCAGAGAACTTTCAAGTTTGGAGGCATATGTAAGATGTCCTAATAAATAAATAAACAATAAATTTACCTAGTGCAGGATTTTTCAGATAAGGGCCTGTTAGTTTATTTCCTAAAAACCAAGAAATGGAAATGGAAAATGTGGAAATCTCAAAATAACTCATTTCTTCCATTTCCATCCCTAAAACTCACCCACAACATCTAATAAAATATTATTTTCATCCAACAACTCATCCACATCATCTAATAAAATATTATTTTCATCTAACCACTCATCCACCACATCTAATAAAATATTATTTTTATCTAACAACTCATCCATCATATCTAATAAAATATTATTTTCATCCAAACATCACTCAACTCATCTCTTTTCATCATTTCAAATCACTCACATCATCGAATAAAATATTATAATAATTCACCTCATCTCATTAACATTTTATTTCTTAGTTTTCATCCCAAAAAGTTGTGAAAATACTTTTCTTAATCTTTCTTCACATCACCCAATAATACAATGACAACTCATCTTATCTCATTTTATTTCTTATTTTTAAGAATGAACAAAACAAAAGAAAACAACAAAACTACATGAAATAGGTTTCTTATAATTCATTTCCTTATTTTTTTCGCCAAAAACAAAAGAAAACAACAAAACTACATGAAATAGGTTTCTTATAATTCATTTCCTTATTTTTTTCGCCAACCGAACAACATCAAAACTAGTTTTCTTAAAAAATCACTCACATCATCCAATAATAATGTGACAACTCATCTCATCTCATCTAAATTTCTTTGATTTTCTTTTTTTTTAGCCAACCAAACAATTCAAAAACCCATTTTTCTTAGAAATAGTTTTCTATTTCTTTGATTTCCCATTTTTTTAAGGCAAACGAACAGGCCCTAAGTGGTAACTGCATTCTGTAGAATGGAAGGAAAACATTTAACTTATCATAGTCTTTTTTTTTTCTGTTCGTGAAGGGAAATCCAATTGATTTGTGGATGTATACTTTCTAAGAAATTAAAAGACACAACTTCTGTGACTACTCAAATGACGTCTGGCATACATTAAAGTTTAGCTTTTAGAAGTATCTAATATCATAGGCTTCAATTCTTTTCTGCAGATATCCACCTCCATGTGCATGTATGTACGTAAGGTAACTTCCTGTAGATAAATATATGAATAAGACACTTGATCCTAGTATTTTAAGCAAAATACTTTTATTAAACACATAAGACACTTGATCCGGGTATTTTAAGCAAAATCATAATACTAACCCAACAAGCCGTGGTGTATGTTGTTTAATTCAAAGAAGCAAACATCAGCATATATCACAAGTATACAATGCTTTAAATGTCGGCGGCCATATCGGACATGTCATCCAACATGGCGGATTTAGGGGCAAACAGACACGATATGGAGCTTTTCAATACGTATTGCGTTTTTAGGGTTCATGTTTGAGATATCAGGGGACATGTCGGATATGTCGGTCGGATATATCGGGGGACGTGTTAGCTATATGTCGGCCAATTTTTTAGTCTGAATAATTGACTAATTTTTTTGGTTATGTTTATCTAATCAGGGTTGGGGTTAAATCCCTGATTGAATTAATATTACTTTCAAAAATAAAACCCGATTAGTTAGTGGAAAAAAGGTCTGAAGTCATTTCTGCTACTCTTATCTCTCTCATTCAACACCTCATCGGTTAATTTTTCGAGCTGTTGCTTTAACATCAATATCAGACGATCTTCTCTCTCCTTAACTACTAACACCAGACTTCTTTTTTTTTTTGCACATCTTTCCTTCAACATCAATCCTAATCATCGTAAGTTATTTCCTTTTTATATGTTTAGACAATAGAATTTATTAAGTATTATTAAATTTTATTTATGATATTATATTACACACGCACACTATCTGATATGACAATCCGATATTTTTTCATGTCCCCCGATATATCCCCGATTTTTGCTATCTGACATGAATTTTAGCCATCTGACATGAACCCAACATCCGACATTTAAAAGCTTGCAAGTATGTACCATTATATACCATTTAACTCAATGCAATTACCATTACTTCAAATGCTTTAATTTGAATTGAGATAATCCAAGCAAAAGACTAAGATCGGATCCAATTTCTTATAAATATGATAGCTGGAGCTGCCCACTTTCAAGTCAAAGTTGATGATCGAACAATAGATAAGCAATTGGATAAGAACGTCCTGCATGAATATGTCAATTCTCAAATGTCCTGCATTTTGGAGCATGCATGCCTAAGGATATCCTTTCGTATCTATCTATCTATCCAATGCCACATTTTCATGTTCATACAAGCTGGTAAGTGTGATACCTAAGTTAATAAAGGCCAAGTAATTAACATATCATAGTTACATCAAGAACGCAATACCCAACAGATGTAACTCTGAAGAAAATGAAGCTGGCATTGAACTTTCTTTCATAAGCGCCCAAATTATGAACTGTTGAAATTGATGAAAGTGTTGCGTTAAGCACACATAATTCCCTTATGAAAAGTAATCCGTTCTTGCGCTTGCAGGCAGGGGAGGATCTACATACAGTCCAGGGGGGGCCACGGCCCCCCCAAAGTTTGGGAAAAAAATTAGGGTGCTTTATTCTTCAAGCCCCTTCAAAATTTTGGGGGAGAAAATTAGGGTGCTCTATTCCTAATTTGGGGAAAAAATTAGTTTGTGAATATTAATTATTTGAGGGGTTTTATGTATATATTAATAGTAAATACATTACCATGAGCAACAACAAGATTAATAAAGGGGGTTTCATTGAAATTGAAATTTATGAAGAGGTATTTAGCGAATGGTTATTCTTAAGGGGGTTTATTAATAAAAGGGGTTATTCTTAAGGGATTAATAAAGGGGGTTTCATTGAAATAGGAAAAGATAATGTATCTTTACTCCATCGTAATGCTGAAAAGGCATGTGAGGATTTGATGAACCAACCGCAGCATATATCAAGGCGATTCGACAACTTCAATGCTGAACAAGTTGCAACAAATCGTCTTCGGTTAAGAGCTCACATACTCGTGGTGCGATTGC